AGACCTTGAGCCAGAGGAGGCTAACCCTTTAGCATCACACCACCACACACATGCAGCAACAATATTAAAATTCATCTACAGTCATGACTGAGTATTGTCTGGATCAGCCGTTTCCGACCCTGGTCCTCTTGATTCACCGTCCTGCAGGTTTTAGATGCATCCTGCTCCAACAGCTGAATCAAACCAATGATGCCTTATCAGGTCAAAGTTGATGAGGAAGACGTATTCAGTCATGTGAATTATCTGTGTTGGAGCAGAAACGCATCTAAAATCTGCAGGTCAATTAGGTCTGAAGTACCAGGGCTGGAGACCCAATGGTCTAGTCAAAGTCCGGCCCTAAATCCAAATGAAGAATTCCCAAAGACATGAATCTATAATCTGATTATTTCTATTTGATTCAGGGAGGCTAAAGACACAAAGATATTGTTCTCTTGTTTTTATTCTACTGAAACTGTTAACCTCCCTCTATTCTTTCTTTTCACTTTATAGTAGTCCGTTAACAGGTCTGGTACATTGTATACATTTAAATTTGTAGTTAAAAAATAACCTAACACATTTGCTCAGAGGTTTCTCACTAATTCTTTATCTTTAAGCATTCAACAGAAGCAAATCATCCATGATTACAATCCCCAGCTGCCAGCCTCCCTCTAAATGATTGCTCTAGTCCCAGCCTTTCCTGTAACTCTGACTCAAATGTTTTACTAGTAGTAAAAATGACGGAAAGGCTAGTTAATAACTGAACTGCTGCTATCTATATCTATTTTTTTCTTGCCAAAAATTAAAAAAATCTTTTCAAACAGGTCTTTACCATAAATATATTCTTTATTTTACATGTAATTGTTTTGATTGAATTCTAAAAACTTTTCTTCTCAATAACATTTCTTTAACTAATGTCTATTATAAACTTGGACTGAAACAATTAATTGGATTCATCATGATTAATCAATTATTGAAATAATCGTCAACTAATTTAGTAATCGATTAATCATTAACTGAAGTGTAGGGACTCTAAAATGAGCCTGGAGCCGACAGAGGAACCTTTCTTGAGAAGTAATTATACCAAGACTGTAAAATATTATGTATCATTTTACATTTAAGATAAAAAAATATTTTCCATCTGTCAATATGCTCTATTCAGAACTCAAGTGGAAAAGTTTTAGTTTCACCTAGTTTAATTTTTTTTAAAGTTTGCTTTAAGGAACCATTGGTTATCCGATTATTAATAGATTAATCGAACAAAAATAAACAACTTATTAATCCATTTGCAAAATAATTGTTAGTTGCAGCCCTAATATACACAAATCTTTGCTGTTCGCCTGCCAGCTATACTTTACAGAGCAAATACAACTCGATCTGCTTTGTTTTGATTGTGCCATGATCGGATTTCTCTCTCCTTTTGCCTCCTTTATGGTTTTTGCTCTGTTCATCTGATAGTTTTCGCTGTTCTGTTCACTTTCTGACAGGTGGATTGGTGCGTTTGGCCCGCCGCTCAGACGATCAACTTCTACTTTCTATCGCCCAAATTCCGTGTTGTATACATCAATTTTATCACATTAGGGTGGGACACCTACCTCTCATATCTGAAACACAGAGTAAGTGTCCTTTTTTCCCCTCCAAGTCAAACGTTTTACTTTTTCTTTTTGTAATAATTTTTTGTCAATAGTTCTTTTGGACTTTGGCTGCCTTATTTTATCATCCCAGCACACAAAAAAAATCTTTATGGTTTTATTAAACAGAGTAAATATAGGAAAATGATTTTATTTCTATTAATCAGGAATTAACTGCATTTTCTCGTTTGCTAAGGGCTCTGCTTAAATGATTAAGGCTAGTTTCATGCAGAAATATGTAATCATCAGTGTGACAGCAGCTCAAATACAGAAATAGCTTTGCTGGCATGAATTTGCAATTATTCTAATGTTTTAGTCATGCAGTTCATATTGACTCCTGCAGTTATTTTATCACGTTGCTGATGTTGATGGATGCCTTTTGTTTTTCATGTGCTGCACAGGATGAAAGCCAGCAATCTGAACCTACATCTGACAGCAGCTCTGTGGATTCACAGCAGAAAGAGCTCCCGTCACCCAAACCTCTGAAGGAAAAAACGTAGGGATCTTCATTAGCTGTGATGGTTATCAAATACAGAACAGTACTTGATATTTTCAGACTTCCTCCTCTTGAAGAGCACTGTAATCCTGTGTTCATCTGTCTGAGAAGATGTATGTTTCTTAAACTGAGGTGTAGAAGCTCTGAAAAACTTTAAGGTCCCTCTTTTTTTATTTCTCGTGAAAGATGTTCACTCCTTTTGGAACATTCAGGGACAAAAGCAGTTTCACTGCCCTCGGCCGCTGCACTTTAAAGTGTTAAAATCCTGCTTCCAGATTTTTGTGATTGAGTGGAAAGTTGTTTAAACTTGAAAGCTTTAAGCTGATGTGGTACACCCTGTTTATGTTGGATTTTTTTTTTATAGAAGAATCAGAACCGTTATGAAACGGTTTTTCATATCATGTTAATCTGTGTGAACCTTTGCCTTAATATGTGGCCCAGTACTACACCTCATTGTGCCAGATAATCTGTTTATCCCTAATTATTACTGCTGAATGATTCTTCATCAGTCTTTGTTATAGTTAAGTCTAATATGATGGACAAATAAACTGTGGATATAACCTTAAATCCTCAGGGGGAAAATATTTGAGTGTGTTTTCAGCTCAGCTCCTGAAACAAAGAGAATGTTTTCACCAATAAATTATTATGTTTTCAGTAGATGTGTATTAATTTAATAATGGAGGAAAAATAATTATTTTCAGTACCTAAATGTATTTCTAAAAACCTACACAAAATTATTTGTTTTCTCATGCATTTCTAATCAGATACGGTGCTGTTCAGAAAGCTGATTAAAAACAGAAATCGATAAAGTCATTGTAGATGACGTTTAAAAATTGATGAGTCTTGTACAAAGATAAGGAAAATATCTATTCTTGTGTAAAATTCCTGTTGTACCCTGGAACTATTTAAACATAAACAATAAACTTTTAATTCCCTAAATTTGTCTGAATTTTATCATCATGTCCTGCTCACAAATGAAGAATGTTAGAAATACGTGTCCTTGGCTGCGGTACCTGAACATGAAAAGTAAAAGGTCAACTAAAGCAAAAGCTTATGTCCAACATCTGTCAATTATAACGCAGAATGGTTTTCATTTATTTTAAGTTGCAGCAATTCCTCTGTCATAAGGCTTTGTGTAAATCTGGGAAGCCATTCAGCGAACTTTAGCGTTATGATGAACTGGGGTAAATTGATCCCTACTGTATAAGGTTTAAGAAACCCTAAACTTTATAGATGATGTATCAATTATTTCAGATGATTTTGGCTATGTCTTACTGCTTTTGAGTGTTAATAACTCTTAAAATTTGACTTCAGAAAATTTGAAGCGCGCAATAAAAGCTTTGGAGATCTAATCATTATTATAGGGAATCAAGGGAACCTGACAGTTCAACAGTCCTTGACAAACTCCTTAAGGAGAAGAAGGGTTATTACAAACAGTCATAAAATGTTGTATCCAAACACCGCGCATTTTCACAGGGCTGCATTTTCTCCACATTTAGCTGTTACAGCCTCATTTCAAATAATATTGAATTCATCATTTAACCCTATATGTAAGGAATAGTACATAAGTATGCATTTCAGCAGGCTGATATTATAGTATTAAAAACTATTTCTTTCAATGCAATATTCTAGTTTCCTGAGAAACTGAATTTTGGGTTTTTATTTAGCGGTCAACTAACGATGTCTAAACTTTCTGTCAGATGGGCCAAACTCCTGCAGGCCAGAATAATACATAATTATTTTTAAGACTAAGATCTCAAGCATTTATTGATATTAGACCTGCTCAACACTATATTAACCGAGGCATGCTGTTTTTGATCAAAGTACCAGAAAGAGATCAGTAAATCATTATACATTTATCTTATTAAAAGAAAGGCATCCAGTTTGCAGATTATTTTGGGCTTGATTGAAAAATATAAACACAAACTGTAGCTATTCTTGTTAATAAAGACAGGATCTTAAAATGCTTTGTGTGTTTTTATTTTTATAGATATAACATATGTAGGTGTACAAATGTATAATTTTTAAGCAAAAAGTCAGTGGATAGACGAATGCATAGTCACTGTGAAATGAAAGAACATACAAATCACTAGGTTTTTAAAAGGCATTTCTTTTATTGTAGGAAGATTTTATGTTTTTCTGTAAACATTTTGGTCCATTTACAGTCAAGCATCTGTGTGGCCGGCAACATTTGGATCATTCTCTACACAAAATCAATCCAGGAGCCACATGTGGCCCCCAGGGCCGAACTTTGAACGCCTCTGCTGTGAGCCTTAAGCATCCTGATAAACTAGTATAATATGGATGTAATAGTAATATTTAGCAGTGGGTATTTATCCTGTTTGTGACTTTTCCTTTAGCTAATGAGGCATGTTGGTGTTTAAAAAAGGTTTGGAAATAAACGTATTTAGGCCAGACAGAAACATATGGAAGAAAAACAGTCTCATTGGAATCTGCCTTTTTTTTAACACCGAATTTTAAACACTGAATTTTTTTAACACCGAATTTTAACAACCTAACTGCAACAAATCTGAGCAAAAAAACAAAACAGAAAACATCTGTTATTAGCGACTTAAGAAACCCTAAAACTATACTGAGGTCAGGAAATGAAACAACGTTCATAAACAGGTGATGTGTGTTTGGTAATGAGAACTCAGGCGGGAAACTACAGGAATGAAGAAAAAAAAAAACAACCTAGGAAGTAAAACCAACTTGAAGCAAGAACAATGTAAAAAAAAAATAAAAATACTCAAAGCCCCTTTAATCTGTAAAAACTGGCTCAAAGTGAAAACCGATCTCCAAGCTGTCAGCAGCAAAATAAACACACTCCACTTTGTTCAAATATTTGACCAGCCTGGAGCATCTGATATGCGCCAGCTCGCGTTTAGAGCAATGCTTTTCCTCAGACATTGAACATATCCTGCTGTCAAGGATGCAGCCTGTGGGTGTGTGCGTGAAAGTCACTGATATGACCGACTGCCAGACACTTCCTCTCTCAACATGCCTGCAGCGATGTACCTCACTCTCCTGCTTACCCTTGTCACGGTGACGATCTGCAGTGGTAAGTAAAAACTTCACATAACTGACTGCTGAATTTTAAAGTCGAACGTCCGGGGCAGAGTGTTATTTCTAGGTCCTGTTAAAGATGCAAATGTATGCAAACAGGAAGAGAGAAGTTCTGACAGCTTGCTGGAGGTAGCATGGCTCAGTCAGCAGAAAGGTTTCATATTCAGTTCATGTTCAGGACTGTTGATAAATAGTTTCCAGTGTTCATCAAAGCTTCTTATAGATGGTGACTGATTCCCATGTAGGTATGAACAAAATTAAAGATGTGACTTGTGAATACCACAACAGGTTAATGTTGCTGTCTATTAAAATAGTTATATTGAGCTTTCATGTAGCAGCTTTGTCACTGAGACACAGTTAGTTTTGGTAATTTGACACAAAATGAACATGAGAGGAATAAGGAGCCAAGTGTGTCCGTCCAAGAGGAAAACTACCAAATTTTCTTCTCATGGTTCACAGCTGGGCTTTCAGATGCGTTACAAAATCCTTATCAACAGCCTGAATCTGTTGATTTGTTGTGAAATTTGAATATCATCAGCAACCATGTTGCCTAATGCTGGCTTTGACAAAGCATCTCATCTGAAGCTTTAAACTCATCTTCTGCTTCAATGGCCTCTTTTTTCTCAACCTATTTTAGTTCCTTCCTATAATTAAACCATTTTCATAACCCTGTATTTAAAATCTAATACTTAATTTATCTCTTTTGTTGTGTATTTCGACAAATGGTAAGAAAAATGCTCAATTTCACATATATTTCCTTTAAAAAAAAAAAAACTCTTTCCACCTGCATCTCAGAGAAAATAAACAAAAGGGGCAAAAACCTTTTCTCAAGTCCAACCTTGAATCTAGTCCTCAATCCAACCCAGTTGAACAAAACCATTATTTGCTGTTGTTGGTTCTTTTGTGTTCCTCAATTAAATCCCAGAACACTCAGCTGCTTCCATTATGGAGAAAAGACTTATCACCTGCCTCTAATCAACCAATCAGAGGTGATGACAACCAGCTAAGAAAAATAATTATTTTAATAATATTTAGACTCTAGAAACCAGAGAAAGCTGTTTTTATTTGAGGAAAATGTGCTTTATCTCAAATAGAGATATTATCACATTCAAACTGTCAGACGTATTGCAGAAACTTTAAGTAGATTTTGTACCCAGGTTTGCCAAAGTTTGATTTCTAGTCTCATGATTTTAGTCTCATGATTTCTAGCTCATTAGTTGCATTTCTTCCCCTTTTCTCCCCACCTTATTTCCTGTTGTATTACTGATGGATAAAAGCCACTAGTTTTCATAGGAACAATATCAATATATACAATTAAAGTGGGTCAGGTATTTGTTAGAAATGCCTCACTCAGTCCCAGAAACATCCCACTGAAAGGAGACCCAGTGGACGGCTCAGGGTGCGCTAAAGGGATTGTGTCTTTCAGCAGAACTTGTCCATTTGTAAGGGGTATGCAAGTGATGTGCTCTCCCTATAAAGGGTTTAATAATCAGAATACTATTTGATCAAATTATCAGCATTTTGACATGAACCAAGAACTTTGGCTACAAGTTGAGTAATGCTAAAAAAGTCAAAGGCGAATACTGTAAGTCTATTGTTCTTGTCACTCATTTCAGAAAGTGAAATGTTCATAAGCAAGGCTGTCTACTGGACAGATGTCCTGGAAATAAAAGCATCTCAGACTTCATCCTGATCACTTCTAAAAGTCTTCTGTTTTTTCCCTCTTGCAAAAACCACAGCTGTCCCTGAAACTGCAGGAGGTGAATTGACAACCACAACTGCTTCACATGCAACTCTCAACTTTACAACATCATCCAGTGCAGTAACCACCGCTGTCACACCCCAGAATCAAACAGCTACACAGAATACCACTGAAGCTTCTTTAACTTCACCACAGACACCCACAGCAGAGAAAACCAGTCCAAGTAGCCCTCCTCTGAACACAACGACCAGCCAAACATCCAATGAGACTGTAACCGAGGAGCAGGAAGTCCCATCAACGACTCTAAATGTTACAGCTGGTACCTCGACAAACACAACCACTTCAGGTCAGACTACTGTCCACGATCCGAGTTATGCTGAAAGACTGAGCTATTGAAATTAATTCAGCTATACAAATGAGTGGCATTGTTAGCAGTAACAAATCAGCCATTTTACAGCTGGTGCTATTGTCAAAGAAATACCTTTTGTTGTGCAGAAAAAAAAGGAAATCCTGCAATCATGTAAACCACATGGAAGCTGGTTTCCACCAAACTAAGGAGCCCCTTGGTTCGGGCCAGCTCATAAGAACCTGTGTGGGAAACTAAATAAACAGCTGATAATAGCAAGAAGTGATATAAAGTTATGTTAATTCAGTAATATCCTGACCTTTTTAGCTTTATGCAGCAAATGCTGTCCCTTTTAGTAGATATTGACCAAACTTTTAGAGACTCTGGTAAAAATGTAAAAATTAAGCTGACTTTTAAATGTGAGCAGCATTCAGCAGGCCTTTTGTTACTCAGATCTTTGATTCTCTGCATATCAATGGTACTGCTGAAAACTTAAAGCAAATTGAACTTTAAAAAAAACACAGGAAAACAAAGAGGCTACTCTGTGCTATCTTTCTTTGGTTCATTTTCAACTTCTTAAATCGAATTAGTGCATCAACAGGTCTGTTTTATTATTGTTTTTAAGCCCATTTAAATGTTTAGACATAAGTCAATGTTTTTTCCATGTCTTAAATCAAACCTCATTTCACCTAAGTTATTGCCTTTTTTTTTTAACTAAACACAAAAAGGTTCAGGAATGAATGATTTAGTTTGTGCAAATAATTCTCCCGTCATTTTTGAGGTAACAGTTTTTCCTCTTGCTTGATGACTCTCAGCTCTTTCAGACAACAAGGACAATTACAACTGGGCAGCAAATCCTGGCCTTGTGGCCGTCATCTGCATCTTTTGCATGGTCTTTGGCCTCTTGCTGGTGGTTATAATGGTGAAATGTGTCAGATCATCGAGGCCCAGCTTTGAGAGGTTGGAAGATTTGCCCTTGGTAAGTAAGAAATCAATTGTTTTAAGGAAGCTGTAAAACAGTTATAACCTATATTTCTGAGTACACATAGGCAGGATAAAGACAGATATGCACCTCTAAAAATATTTACTGTCATACAAATAGCTGAAAGTAACAACATTTTGAATGCATTTGATTGACTAGAGGAAAAAAAATAGAGAAGCCGTGTTCTAGTTTCTGTTTTTCTCCTCAACATTGAGCTCACTGGGATGCTACTCTCTCTTCTGCACAAACAGGAAATCTAAGCCTAAAAATGGGTGGTGAGCACCCTATGACTTGTTATAATTCTTTTTAAAATAGATTATCAACCTCCTATTGGTTTGTCAGCATGTATTTAGACTCTTTCAGTATCCTCTTGTCATATATTTCAGATGCAGGACTAAGTACTTTTTTTTTCCATGGTGAAAATAAACAGTGTTAGTGTGTTATGCAACATTAACCAGAAACCTAAAAAAAATAAGATGGAATATTTGCATTTATCTTAATAGGACTAAAACTGAAACTGTTTAGAAATCATGTGAACTAATCTTCAACAATGTTTCTAATAAAGAAGCCCTGTTTGCAAATCTTTATTGTAATGTGACTGACTGTAAAACATTTTCCTAATACAGCTGTGAAACACTTTCCTGTTCTAGACCGGTACAGTGAGAGCAACACAATATACAATATATAACCAACAAAGTGACACCAAAAAAGCTGATTTTGCAAATTGTGCATGGAAAGTTTTCTCCATGAGTTAATAAATGACAGAACAAGCCTTAAAAAGAGAAAATAAGGACAAAGATGTTGAAAGCTTTGATAATGTAGCTAATCTTTAATATCTTACAGAGCTGCTGCTGTGGTGGGAAGTTTACATGAACTCATCATGGTCAATAACTTCAGCCTCAAGTTATTCATACAGCCGGCAGATTAAAATACTACTGAAAGGGGATAATAAAATGAAATAAAATGCGTAGTTTAAAAAACTGAATTACATACACACTTGTTGGAAACAATCTGTTCTATTCAGGGGCGTATCTAGAAAAATATTTATGGGGTGGCGAGAGGGGGGCAGGAATTTTTGAGGGGTGGCAACAGATGGCATTTGTTTACACTGAATTTAATCACAGTTATCACAGTTTGGGGAGAATAGTTTGTACAGAGTGTTTCATGTGAAACAGTTCATACAGTATTAGAAATACATCGTACAACTTAATAGGAGATAGAAGAATGATAACACTACTTCTAGAGGGGCATTATCACAGGAAAGGTATTAAGGTAAGACACAGGTGCTGAGTCGCAGATGTGAGAGATTGCCTGTCAGAGAGACAGCTTTGCAGCATTTGCACAAGAAGAAACTATAGAAAGAAAAAGTTACCCATCACAGATCTATGGACTGAGCTGTACTAAAGTGAGCATTACTAAACAGCAGAAATAAATGGGTCAAGGCACCCAAACAAGGTACCGGACATCTATGTATTGTTTACTCTGAACACACATTTACCACGTTTGTTCCTCAGTAACTTGACATACAGCAGTTAAGGCATCATGAAAGGGACATTTCATGCATGTAAATATGCTGTAATTAGAGCTGCTGTATCAACAAATCAACAAAAAGGCAGGTACTGTATGTTACATCAAAATCTTCACAAATCTGAAAAGAAGCAACATAAAAATACATTTTGCTTCCAGTCTGAAAAAGTACAAAAAATAATGGGGGTAGGTTCATACAGGTCATTTCTGGATAGTTTCATACTATATATACAAAAAAAAAGAAACAACACTGCTTCATATTAAGCAGGATTTACACCAGTATCACATTTTTAACTTTACTTTTTACACTTTTGGTTTAATTATAGGAAATATCCGTTTTTCTCAAGTGCCAATACAAAATGTAATAGATCTGTAAAGACTCACCAGAGAACATAACATAAAGTTGACATGACTATAAAAGCTTAATGCGGCGATTTCCATTTTGCTTAGCAAAACGCTTCACAAATTGATTTAGCTCCAATGCCTTTTTGCGTATTGATTTGAGTTCAACCAAACTTGATAGTCTCTTTTCTGTCATAGTTGACCACAAGTATGTCTTTATGAGCCTGAGATGTCAGGCCTAACTAACATCATTGTTAGAGAAATAACGTTCTGCAACCTGATTTTTATCATATCAAAATCAGCATTTCAGCTGTGCTAGCAAAATTGTGCTTTCATTATGATTTAATTTCTCAGTAGATAGTTAATCAGTTTTTACCTGTTTCATCCCGTGTGTCCTCTCCCCATGACCACTGGCTCCCTCGCTTTGCCCCATTCGGTTTTCAAAACAAATCAGTGTCAGTCGCTCTTGCGTCATCTCATGCTGCTTTTTCTGCAGTCCGACATTGGAAATTAGTGGTCATAATTCTCAAATTATCCATGATTTATAAGCCTTTCCACCCCTACCGCCGACTGGGGTGGCAGCAGGGGTGGCAACCTGTCATTTAGGGTGTATTTGCCACCCTATGCCACCCCAGTAGATCCGCCTTTCTTTTACAAAAATATGTGGGGAAAAAACTTTATTGGCATTAGATTGAAGCACTAGTATAACTGTGGACATGCTTTTATGTTGAAGGGGCTGCTAATCACCCTTTTCTTTAGCTTTTTCCATAGATTATCTGTCAAACTCTGACTGAGCCAATCAGAGCCCTAATTATACAACCAGGCAGAACAAACATTTTATTAAGCTAAAAATGTCGCTGTGAAACTACATCTCTCAGAAGAATAAATCATTAGTGTGTGTATTCCTGTCCTCTACCACTCGTATTAGAATAACAATTAATGATGCTTTCCCCTGCTTGCTTAATAGTTCACCATCATACCTTTCTCCAGAAGTTGTGATAACTGACACTGATTTTTTGTAGCTTTCAGTTCATTGCATAGTCGAGCCTAAGTGATTCCTAAACTTTTCTAGATCAAATCATTATAACCAGTTTTATTTAATCTTGTTTTAACATTTTAGGTCAGATATTCTAATGGATGTCCTAACAGAAAAATGACCCCAAATGCACATAAAGGTTTATGAGGAGTCAGCGTGAGGCCAAAGAACTCTGTACTGACGGTGAAGCAGGGTGGTGACGTCATCATAATGTGGGCTTATCTAAATGAAAGTGGTACTGGTTCACTGCACATTGGATTGGATATCCTCCAAGTTCTTCATCTTCTGAAATAAACCCCCAGGTTGCTGAAACGTGGAGATATATTGGTTTTCCCAAATAGATGTGTAATGTGTGGATAATTTTATTTGAAATGGACAAACAAGTTAATAACCCTTTATAGGGCACTCAGTGAAATACTTTGAAAACCAAAATTTCAAGCCAACAATGTTATTGGAATTCAGGACAATTCCTTATTCCCTTTGTAACATAAAAAAAAATATGGATATTTTGATGGCAAAAATGAATGCCAAAGTAATAACAAGATATGTTAACTTGCCCAAATATATTAAGAAAAATAAGAAAATTGCTTCTATAAAAGAGAGTAGAGAGTAAAGAGAGTAAAAACACACATTTTATTTTGGTACAACATAACCTTAGAGGCATTAATGCTGATACTGGCACTTACATTTTTTAAGTTTATAAACCTAAATATAAGTGTTAACTAGGCTTATTAACTTTCCTTTTTAACTTTTCAATTAGCTTTTTACCGTTTTTCCCCCTAACTCATTAACTTTTTTTTCCAGCTTAATTTACAGTAGGTAATATATCATTCAAGGGCTCATCTAACTGGTCAAATGCCAAAATAAGATGTACAGCCATGTAGCAGGATCTTTGCTGAATTGCTGGATATAGATCTTGTGCTTCTAGACCTCACTGAGGGACGGAGTGCGGGGGAACTCTGTTTGTAAGGGGTAAGTGATCAAAAACAGTAACTTGCCCTATAACGGATTAAACCATTGGAACGGCCCTGACCTTAGCCCAAAAGACAGGTTTCTACCAGAAGGCTAATGCTACCAATTATTTCAGTGTGCAAACAGAGTTATCCTGCAAGCTTGCTGATGGCTAATAAATGGATGTGTGTTTGGAATGAAACCAACAGTCTAAAAAAAATACATTTATGGGAATCTACCAATATTTCTGGTTCAGATATACTAGATATTGACTACTAGAGGTCTTCTAAATCCAATACCATTATCTTGCCATCAATTTAACACTGCTTTAAATGTGCTGCCAATTTTTCTTCCTCCATTCACAGGATAAGAAAGAAACGGTGATAACAATATCACACCAGTCTCAGTTTAAACAATAATGAAACATTAATAAATAAATCAAACAAAATGACAATGGAGATCAAATGGAAGGAGGGTCAATGCATACCCTTCACATGATTTCAAGGCATGACTGTTTAATACAATGACGAATCAGTGAATACATGCATGTGTTGTTCAATATCAACTAACTCTAATATCAGCCCTAAATATCAAGTTGACCACAGGATAAATATATCTATGCCAAGGACAGCAATGTTTTAATCAAATAATACTTTGAGGATCAGGATTTTTTTCTTTGAGTTAGGTGTCCCTCTCTTATGCTTTTAAAATCCTTCCACAGCATGGAGCTCTTATAGTAAATAAAGTTTGTTAGCAGACCTCTGTCCTAAACATGTTACATTATTGTGGTGGGAAATGGTTTGCATTCTTTGAACTTCTTTCATGTTTTCTCTCCAGGGCAAAGTGAATGAAGCTTCTCCCTTTGCTCAGTACTCAAAATGACATTACACTGGACAACAAAGGGACAGAAGAGCTCTGTCTGCAGTTCGATTCTGATGTTTCTGGGCTGTAAAACAAGATTACTACTGTCTACACCACACAGAAGGGCCTCCAAGTTTAAACATGTAATTGTAGATTGCACTTTTATCAATGCTAATGAAACACTCCTGGATCAACTCTGATCTGATTACTTGGCTGCTGGTAATTCGATTGCTTTATGGTGACTCTTAATCAAATAAAACATGACCTTTTCTCCCGTTCTTTCTTTTGAGATGAGAATTGGTGTGATTGTAAAAAAAAAGTTAAATGTTTTATGTTGTCTAAATGCACAAAAGCCTTTGGGAATAATAACTGAAGTTATGCACATGTCAGTTTAACACTTTGAATGTTTGTAAAGCTTATATTACCCTGATTCTCACAAAGGTGTTTTTCATTTTGCTTCATTACAACCAAAAACTTTATTGTATTTTATAAGGATAATTCCCTGATAGATCAAGTAGCAAGACCGATCATTTGAAGTGCCAAAACTGATGCATTGTTTTAACTTTTTTTTTTTTACAATTGAAAATCTAAAGAAAGTATAAATGTCTAAAGTATAACCATGATATCTGATGGTTTTCTTTAAGCCCCATATTTTGCTCCATCCTTGGTCTTAGATAAGTGATCAGATCAGATAATTGCCCAGTATCTGCTAAAGGCAAACATTCCCACACCATAATGCAGCCACCGCATGTGTCTACGGAACAGTGTCTTAAGAGTTACACTCAGGTAGAACCTCTTTACCAAATAGGGCCTTAAATGGTGACATTAGACGTTAAGGGATATCAGCATAAAAGTGTCAAAATACAAATGCAATGCCAGTTTTCATGTTTTAAGAACAAAAGCCTGAGCTAATCCTGTTTTTCCCCCTTCCACTTTAGATATGTGTTACTTTGTATTTGTCTATAATATAAAAACCCAATACAAAACATTAGTTTTTGGTTGTAACAACAAATAAAATAAAATAAAAGGTTAAATCATTTAGTAAACGGCATTGTAGTCCATATATCTGTATAACTAAAAATAATGCATGTTGGGGTTAGTTTGAAAGCTTAAGTTTTACTTTCATTATTTTTGGTTTAAACAAATCAACATCGTTTTTTTCCCCCCAAACATATTTACAAAAGAAATCATTTCAATCCACCCACAGTGGTACTAAAAGACTCTGCGGCTTCCAAATAAAGAAAAGAACATAAAAAACCCTCAAGGGTTTTTGTAACATCATATTCTGTTTTACCTTTAAACTCACATGATTTCTGTCTTTATTTTACCTCTTGAAATAAATCCCATTTAATGTCAACATTGTTAACATACTGTGCGTAGTATGTATGCTGCTATAGTACGGACTTGATGTGATTAATGAATCGAAGTAAAGTGCAGCTGTTCAACATCGGTTATTCATGGGTTTCAATAAATCAGTGCTGTTAAAAATACGAGAGATCCCTGCATCATTGTTGTGGATGTAAAGTGGGTGATTTGTATAAAAGCCTTCATGGTGAAATGTTGTGCTTGAAATGTATTTATTTTAGATCTTAGTATTTGCTTTGCAGCCTGCAGTCTAGTAAGTATGCAAACACCCCTGTTATCAGCAGAGCCACCCACTGAACCTGTATTCTGCTGTTTTACCTCTCCCCCACCCCTTCTATACGTTAACATATCAGGTTTCCCTACATAGACAAATGACCATGGGATAAGAGATAAAGCTTGCTGTCTCCAGGGCTCCATGGTTTGGAATACCCGAAAAAGGTCAGAAGAAGTGAGGTAACTGGTCACCGTGGCCAGACTGGTTCAGCTTATAAGGAGGATGTTTGTTGATTGCAGGGCAGATTAAAAACTTGAATGCAGTTGACTCAGGTGATGTGATTTATATCTGCAAAATGTCAAGCAAAAGAATATCTTAATAGTGACCTGAGAGCAGAGAGCAAACTACTCCCTCATTAAGGTTAGGATGATATCAGATGAATGCTGAAATTAAGCACTTCTCTGTCATAGATAACAGGAGAGATTTTTTTTAATGGAGCATGGCTTTTCAAGCTAATAGTATTCATTTCAGACCACCACTGAGTAAATAAAGTATGCATTTTGCAAACTACAGAGAATATTCTGTCTCCCTATAGTAAATTGTGTATGAAGTTTATTTCTGCATCAATTCTCAAGGATTTTCCTTGTGGTGTCTGTGGTGGCTCTTAACCCCTTTATAATTCAAGTCAAAGCTGCGGTTATCTGTTGATTGTGCCTCTTTTTTACCACACTTTTACCCCTCCATTTGTAAGCTCCTCTGTTCGAGTTGCAACTGATTGGGACTTCTGCCCCACATTAATTGGAAACCTCAATTACATCACATTTGAGATACAATTAAAGAAATGACTTACTGACAATCAGAGCTGTTGACACTAACTGAAAACAAAAGCCTTTTTTTCGCTGCCCCCTGCTGCCATCTTGCCTTGTTTGTGCTTAAATATGTGTCTCGGATGATTGTATAATTGTTGATCTTTTCTGTTTTCATGAAGCTCATTTTTTGCTTAAGCAATCTATTGTCATGATCTGATGTAAGCATGTATTTTTACTTCTTCTCCTTTACAGAGATTTTTACCATCTGTCTATAGGGACTGCAGGAGAAAAACATGGCCTTCTGACCAAATTTTGGATTTTGACAAAAATGTTTATTACCGATACTATGCATTGTCCCTTTGATAAATAAATAGATTAACCCTTTAAAGCATGAACCATGAAATAATTGACAAAAGATTCTAATTTTTCAAAGTTAAAATTGTCATTGAATTTTCTGATAAGTGAAATAACAATATAGATTTTTTATTCGTTAAATGACATGATTTATTTGCATCAATTCTAATACATTGTGTATTTCTATATCATCTTTTATATGTTTTCTGTTCACTACATTTGTCTGATTATGTAAGTCAGGGATCAAATGATACCCTTGGCTTGAAAGGGTTAAATTGAACAGCAAACAGTTTAGTGTTTAAGCAACCATCTACTGGAAAATGGTCTGGTTAGCATCATGAGGGCCATTTGAGGGCCATAATATGACCCTTTTGCAGGCTATAAAATAACATCTTTGTTGGTATTATTCAGTAGTTAAATTATTATTGTTTTATTTTCTGTGAGCTGAATAAAAGAATAAAAACTTGTTTAGTATTTGGAGATTACAACATATAATCAGTTTTATTGCATAAGTGCAGTCATAAACAACAGATGAAACGCTTTTTGGTAAGTTTATTTATTTCAAAAACTAAATTTACCAAGTGAAAAAAAAAATCTACAAACAGTTTGATGGTTTCAATACGGAAGAGGATTAGGGCCACTGAAAAAATAAAAACGTTAACTGATTTTTACATTTTATTTGAGTTTAATATGGTCTGCGATTAAAGTCAGAATTCTGAAAAAAGTAGGAATTTTGAGATTTAAGTCAGAATTCTGAGATTACAGTCCGAATTCTGAGATTAAACTCAGAATTCTGAAAAAAATATCAGAATTCTGGGATTATAGTAAGAATTGTGAGATTAAAGTCAGTATTTTGAGATTAAAGTAAGAATTCTCAGATTAAAGTCAGAATTCTGAGATTAAAGTCAGAATTCTGAGGAAAAAAATCTGAATTCTGAAAAAAAGCCAGAATTCTGATATTAAAGTAAGAATTCTG